TAATTCTAACTCTCTTTAAACTTGCAGTTCTCTCAACTTTTGTATGAGTGGTGGTACTTTCGAGTACTACTCTTGGGTAACCCCTCAGCCTCAGAAGTTAATTTAACGGAGTATAATAAATTTCTCACAATATTAAAAGAAGTCACTATAACTTGAAAACTATTAAACATAGATACAGGGAATGTTAATAGAAATAGAAGAAGAATTAAATTTCTCCCCATTCAGTGAAGAAAAAATTGTTCGTTTTATTAGAAAAGTTGAATAAAGGATATTTGAAGTAACTTTAAATTTTGGGTGTTTGTTAATTATTTTTCCAATTATGAATTTACCAAAAGGAAGATCTAACCTTTCTTTATCATAGGCGTAAACACGATTTGAAAATAATAAAAATGGCAGAGTTATCGATTTTTGAATAGAAAGGTGCAAATGCAAGAAAAATTCAAAAAAGTATAAACATTTTGAAAACGTTGAAACTTAGGTATAGGGAAGGCTAATAAAAACTCTCTCAAAGTCATTTGAGTAATCTAAAAATGCAATAAAAAACATAGCTTTCTATTTAAAATAACGAAATTGTGGTGTGTCGTGATCGTGAAAACATTTTCATTGAGCAGGACCTCACCGATTATGGCTATAAACAAAATTTTAGATAAATATTATTAGAACTCACAATACCTTTAATGTGGGGTTTAGCCGGAACGATCTGTATACACCCGTAATTTGCAATAGTTTCTCAAATAATATCGGATTGTATCATATTATCAATATTTTTATTTATATTTACATTTATTACATCAACCATTGAAAAAAACTATTGAAAAGTATTTTTTTCACTACTAGCTGTAAAAGATTATTTAGTAATTTTTGCTTGCATAAAAAGTTATTGGACTCTTAAATCCACCAATCCTAGAAGGGCACCTCAAGGTGTGATTGGAAAATTATATCCGTTGCTAGATTACAAAAAATAATACCAATTTGCCCAGAACTTTAAAAAAATAGCTGACATCTTTTTAACATTTTTATACAGTGCACGTTAAAGCCTTGAATAAAGTTTATATTTCTTGGCGGAAAATTTATGAAAACAATTCTTGGATTCGATGATCGTGTGTGTAATACAGTGCGATCAAAAAGTTTATCTATCAAGCAAGCCTAGAAATTTAAAACGTGTGTCTGCGGAAGATAAAATGTCACAATGGTAAATAAGAAATGTCAAAATAATTTTTTTGTAAACTGTAACAACAAACCGTGGTGAACGATTTGTATAAATAAACTCCAACTACATCTCATTTTGGGGTGTTTTACGACGTTTCATACAGTAATTCAATTTGTTTAGATCAATATTTTAATTTTTATAAAATAAATAATATAATATTTTTTGACACCCAGCTGACATACAAACTTCCAAGCGACATACATCCTTAACTAGTACGCCTACTTGATAGAAAGACTTTTTTATTGCACTGTATTACATCGACATTTTTTCAAATAGGACATTTCTTTCAAGTTTATAATTTATTAAGTTTTTTGATTTAACTAAGGTACTATCAACGAAAAAAATATTATAATAAACTCTTTTGTATTAATCAGCGATTAATACACTTATTTATTAAAGAACTATTAACTTGGATTAAATCGTCAATATTGAGTCACCACTAACTTATACTGCAGATTAATAATACGTAGTATATTAAATAACAAGTTTATGAAACCAGTTTTTTTGTACTTACTATTTTTTGTAATTTGCCTTCTTTATGCCGTTTTTTAACATTTTTTTTACTTAATCGATTTAAGGATTGTTGCAACGTCCAATAATGTCTTAAGATTAAATTCAAAATTTTATTTAGTGGCCTTTTGACTATAAAGACATCGCACATGGTGACGTCACGTACTCGTATAATTATGTCTATTAGAGAATCAAAATGGTGGCAAATTGCAAACCTGATTAAAATTATGGATTATTATGGATGGATTATTATTAACGTCATTATTATGGATTATGGATTATTATTATGGATTATTATGGATTATTATTAAAATAATGGAATTTAATTTTTTTGTTGGTAATAGGTACTCGTACATTTAAAAAAACATAAAAATTGAAAGATTTACTTTAGGTACAACATTTTTATGACCAATGAGTATGTTATTGTGTAAAAAATTAATTAATATCTGTTCTCGGGGATATTCCGGTCACAATCTACTTTATTTAAATGAACTTACTAACCAACCACCATTATTTGTAAACTCTGATTTACTAGAAAATGCCAGAAACCTTTTCATAATGCCTTTAATGTATTAGATAAGTATTTTGTTCTCTGCAAACGCTACACACTGTCGCACAACACTGATATCTAAGTGATAAAACGAGTAATTTAAAGTTATCAACTTATCATAATGTTAATTGATTACGCAATAATATATAGTTTATTTTCACATTTGGTTACTATGGGTAGAGCTAAGATACAGAGCTTGCAGATATCAAATTGTCATATTTATTGTCGATATCAGAAACATAAATTTGTAAATGAAATGATGCAGAGTTATAATAGCATAGAGATACAGATATTCTTTTTTTAAAACATACAGGCTGTCCCAACGGTCCGAAAAAGCTCTATAACTTGTTTATTTTAAGAGATATTGACTTTTTCTTTTTTTTAGATTATAGCTGCGTTTTTGATGTACATTTTAAAAATATTGCGGTTTATATACAGGGTGTCCCAATATTAAAAAACACTAAAGTTATGTTTTCTTTTTTAAATGGAATCTACTCAGTTTGATTTTATTTTTGGATTCTACGCTAAATTACAAATAACTTTTATAGAGGTTGTTTTCATTTATCTGTTATCAATTTTGATTTGTGGCGCTTTTTTACCAGATTTTTTTAAATGCAGGGGTCTGTCTAAAAATTCGTATTTTCTAAATGCTTGCACACAAGTTAAAGTAAGTAACGCTATTTGATTCCTGAATGTTTGCCGCATGTTTTAAGTGTTTATTCAACAACCTGCTCAGTGGCATGTGCCTACTACGATTTTTTAAACATGACAAATTAAAAATGTCAAAAACTAATTTTTTTCATATGGCACCCTTTATTTATTATTGTACCAATCAAAAGATCTTTTGACAAGCTTTCCATCAATATAAGGTTTGTATAGTCTAGTGTAAAATTCTAAGTTGCTATCCTAAATTAACTAAATTTCGAAAAACTTTTCTGTTTTTGACAATAAAAATCGAGTGGGCTTCTGTCATTGTTACAATCTATCAATTTTATTGTGAAGATTATAAGTCCCAAAATGAATTTTACTCGTCAAGAACTCATGGAACATGGTATACAGTCTTGGTGAAGCGGATCGTAATATTTTATTGGCTCAAAGACTTTACAAATAAAAATACCCAAATGCAAGACTGCCGCAAAGTGTTGCATTTAAAAAATTGTATAAAAATGTATATAAATTGAGACCAACAACTGCGGAGGATATGAAACAAAGAATACGCGATACATTCAATTTAATAAATGCAGATATGCTAAGTCGTGTTAGACTATCTTTTAGACGAAGACTGCATGTATTGAAAAAAATGGTAATATTTTTGAGCATCTGTTATAAAGAAAATTGTAAAATAGCTTTAATGTTTTGTTTTTTTTTGTTTGTTAATGTTTTTACATTTTTCTACTAAATTGTGTTAATACTGCTTTGCGATATGTTAGATTTTGCCTAATTTTCTCTTTAACTCAATTTTGCTCAATATTTTACATTTTCTTGCAGCTAAGAATTTCCATACAATTTCCATACAAATTCCATACTTTTGTTTATTTTCTGTGCTAATTTTTTTTGCATAAGGCCCACTCGATTTTTATTGTTCAAAACAGAAAAATTTTTCAAAATTTAGTTAATTTAGTATAGCAACTTAGAATTTTACACTAGATTATACAAACCTTATATTGATGGAAAGCTTGTCAAAAGATCTTTTGATTGGTACAATAATAAATAAAGGGTGCCATTTGAAAAAAAATGAGTTTTTGACATTTTTAATTTGTCATGTTTAAAAAATCGTAGTAGGCACATGCCACTGAGCAGGTTGTTACCTGCTCACTTACACTTAAATTGTCTTTCAACAAGCTCACTTACCATTTATTATTTATCACTAACTTTTGATTTTAAGCAATTTGAAAGAATAGAACATTTTTATTCATTTTATTTAAGACAAGCAAACGATTGATAACGAAAAATTGTTCAACTATGAGCAAAAAAGTATTTTAACGTCTTTAACAGTATTATGGTTTGGGGCGTTTTTTATAATACACCCTGTATAATTGTATTAATAATGCTGATATAATTTTTTTTCTGAATTTTTAAATTTGAAATTTGTTTTCTTAATATTTCATGTAGAGAGCTACGCGCTCTAAATTTTGCAAGCACACTAAATGAGTGTAGATTATATGTATTTTATACCGATTTCGGCGCAATCGTGTATTGGGCGAAAAATGTTTGGTAAGGAAGTGTTTTTAACAATTAATTGTTCATAGGACAAACCCACATTATTTTAACATGTTCTAATTATTCCCGAATTTTTACCGATAAAAACGGTACCACCCTGTATATTTAAGCTGGACTTGAAGTCAATTATTGCTAGGCTTCTATCATCATCTATAGAAGCAAATTTTTATAAATTTTAAACACAGGCATGCGGTTATTAAAATTTCATATTTAAGCAATTGATAAAAATGGTTACTAGACATCGTTGTAATTGGGATATTTATTTCACTGACGTCATCGGTTATAGCGTGTCTGTAAAAGTATAGTTTAATGCAGCGTTTGGTAGAATTGCGCGAAACTCCAGCCGGACCTTTCGCAATTAGTCATGGGAGCACAGCATATTCTGGGGGGGTTGCGGAAATTGCGCAACTCGCGCCCCAATGTCCTCCCCCAGTGACGCCTGCGCCTAAGAGAAAAGCGAAAACGCGACGCTCATCTCGCGACCGACAACCAGTCCCTCGCTATCGCCTGACCGCTTAGCTTGCCCGCGACGCTTTCTCAGAACCAATCTGTGTCAGTTTCGAGAGACGCACATATACACATAACACTCTGTATACTGTTCACAACGTATAAAAATTACAATTATTGTACTATAAATAAAATTACAGTCTTTAATTTGCTATCTAGCGTGCTGTTCTATACAACGACAAATTTGAAAGGTGTCTAATTGCTTTTTACAGTGAACCAAAAATATTTTCCGAGTGCGTCCGCAGAACGTCCAGGACACCGCCGGGAGTTTAAAATTTTGTAAACATACTTGGGATTTCTGATTTTGCTGTGGAATTTTTTTTGTTTAACCAATCTCTGTAAGGATAGCTCTCGGCTTGGTTTTTTAATTTTTCTTAAAACACCGGATTAATAGTTCTGGAATGCGTGCTTAATTTTGTTTGGTGGTTAGTGATTTTGCTGGAGCCGGTACCTACTACAAAAATCGTTTCGTCTGGATTTCTTATGTGAGTGTTTTGTTTGATAAAACCGTGTTTTTTCAACTGCCTTACCCTCTAATTGATGCAAACAAACTTCTATAAAGCAAATTTGCAGAAACGTTTTTGAAATGTTCGAATAAATAAGGAAATCGTTGTTTTGTGATGAAGTAAGTAATAAGAATTCCAACTTTGCATCTAATACCTATAACAGCAGCAATTTTATCGTTCTATTGATTTTCGAACAATATAATAATTATAGATACGTGGGGACGACAAAACTACGAAATCCGTGTTTTAAAAATTTTGAAAATATCTACAAAGAAAATTAGATTTATTTGAAATCTTGTCATGAGACTGCAGTGTACAAAATTTACGTAAAAAAGATTTCTTTGAAATCTAAAAGAGACTACGTTGTCTTAAGACATTTTATTGTTTCTAATTTTTTTTACAATTATGTCTTCGTTAATTTCTAATATTTCAGGCTTTAATAATACTTTGAGTTTTTTGGTGGAAATGACACTCACGAACAAATGAGAACATGCTCTTTTTTGCTCGTCTTGCTTATAATAAAATGCAGAAGTAAAATAAATAAGCTAGTTTCACAAATACTACAAGTAGAAGATACCTACCATAAGCACCTTTTTTTCATCTGCTTGCGTAAACTCAAGTAAACATTTACTAAGAATCTCTACTACATATGATAAATGTATGTTATTAAAAATTAATGTTTTCTCTAATGTATGCTATTATTGTTTCAATTACATTTTTCTTGTGTTCTGTAAGAAAAAACTCTGCTTTTTAGCGGAACAGCCATAAACCAGATTATTTGATAAATGTAATAAATACTTTTCGCTTTACATAAAAATTGATGCAACTCGTATAGTGTTAAGTCAATTTTTACTTTATTTATGATATGTGGTCTAAATACTTCTATTTTGCAACTCCGTTGAAAACAATAAATAACGTAATCATAGTACAAATTCTTTTTTTTGAGTAATTCAGGAACCAACTAATTAAAAATAGTAATTTAAGAAAGTTTATGACCAGACCGTAGGAGGTAATATTCGTACTGAATGATTGATCATGATTACACTAGTTTACAAATAAATATACCTTATTACCTTTAATCAAATTATTATTTTTATGTTTATTTATCTTTAATCAAGCAAAAATAACAGTTAATTTTGTTATCACGTCACAGATTTTTGTTACGAACGATAATTTTCTTGTTTTCTGCACGAATGCTCCCGATTTAAAATTCAAATTGTTGCTGAATTATTGCAAAAGTATTATCAGATGGGTCTTAAATGGGTTTTAAATTACATTTCATTGGTTTGTATTTGGACTTTTTTTTCTAAAAACTTGGCAGCATGAGTGACGATTAAAGGGCGAGCGTGTTCTCATCAAGATCTGAAGCTTTTTAAAGATCGGCACAAAGGTTTTTGGGATGAAAATATATTAAGGGATTACTGCTGGACTCTTATAAGAGAAACTGATCCAAAAAAGTATAAAAAACAAAGAAAAACAAATCATTTTTAATTTGTTGTTTGGCGGTTCTTGTATTTTTATTTCTTAAACGTGACGTAGTGGACTTTTTTAAATATTTTTTTGAACTTAGTGCCTTAAAATCTATAAGAAATTATAATTTTTGGCTAAGGTATATAAATCGTGTAAACTAGTGTTATCATCGGATTTTATTATTTTGTCTTTTGCACAGGTTGCATTGAAATCGTATCTACGCTTGTACTAAGTATTTAAATTAGTTGTTAACATTAATACATAATTATATTGTTATTATTTTGAATGTGAATTTTAACTTTTATTACGATAAATCTAACGTGGTTTTTAAGGTTGTTGTGTTTTAATGAGATTTGTTGAAATTATAGTAATCTGCAAATTTATCGTATTGAAAACAAAATGTGTATTGAGGTGTATAAATCCAATTCTAATAAATAATAAATCTTACTGTTTTTAATTTTGTTACAATATTTTTTTAATTTAAACAGTTCATAGTAGTTTCGATGTGACCCGAAACCTAACTTATTAGTTTTGTTTGTAGTGAGGTAAAAAATAGACCTTTTTACCTGTCGATTTTTAAAGTTTATTCCTAATTAGTTTATGCAAGTGCGAATTGTTGTCAGTATTGTGTAATTGTGTATTTGTTGACAATGGAAATTGATTGTTTTATAGTACACGTTTTTTATGGTTACAATGAAAGCTGATGGATGGTCTCTGGTTGATAATTCTGCGATTTCTCTTAAATGAAAGTAAAATTCGAGAATCTTACTTAATAATTCGCTTCAAAAGTTTATAGCGTAACTAATGGCATTAGAGCATGATGACGGTCGGTAAAGTTTAAAAATAATTCTTTGCTCATAGCATCTTATCTGATTATGCTTAATCATAATATCGGCCTCTGACACAAGGTTAAAAGGTGTATTATTAAAGGAGGCCAATTTTTTTTAAATTAAGTGATGCTTTGATGAATCGTTCAATTTGTTTGAATTAACGGAGTTTCTTCCATGGGTTTGTATGCTACCGACATAGTTTGCAAGTATGTAGCGATAGTCCACTTTAGCTCTTAATTAATTATTGTAAGCTTCGGTCCTAAATTCAAATACGGTCGCAGTGTAGTAAGGTCGTCTTTGAAGAGTAAATGCTTTAAAAAGGGTAATTATAATGATAGGGAATGCGTTGTCAATTTTTTTTTGTTGACGTCATAATGCTTTTAAAGATCATCCAATCGCTTTCATTGTTACATTGATTTATAAGACTACTTTTAAGAGAATGCCTATTTAATATAAAAAAATACGTATAGGTATAAATAAGGTTTTGTACTTTACTTTCGATGTAATTACATTGGTTAGAAGTCTATTAGATAAAAATAAGAAAAAAATACGGATAATTATGGTTTTGTATTCCATTTTACCTTCTAAAACTAAAAAAAAAACCTTTAATCATACAGGGTGCGCCAGAACTCGCGCCCCAGAGAAAAATGTCAAATGCCGGGGGGCAATAGGTCGCCAAAAAGTGGAGCCGAAGAAGTAATTTTTGCTTGCATAAGAAAGTTATTAGACTCTTAAATCCACCAATCCCAGAAGGGCACCTCAAGGTGTGACTGAAAAATTATATCCGTTGCTAAGTTACGAAAATAATACCAATTTGGCCAGAATTTAAAAAAATAGCTGGTCTACTGTAATTTTGCGTTTGACATTTATCGTGATGTGTGTGACATAACTTGCTAGTTTCCAGTATTTTTCTCGCTGAAGAGGTTGTACACGAGTATAATGAGACAGAATCGTTAATTATTATCAAAAATTATTGAAACATTCTGGAAATTCCTGATGAACCGTGACTTCTCTAAAACTTCTTCACAGGTATTGTTCCTTCTCAACTTTTTCTTCTATCTGATACAGATTAACAAACCGATAAATGAGTTTTAGAGCTTGAAAACTAGTGTATTATCCTTATGAAACAAAGAAGCAAGTGAGAGTGAGAGACCAGAAAAACATGAAGTAGGTACGCAAGTTTCCTTATTTACTTTAATGCAAAATTAACAGGAAAATGTGCTTTTTATAAGAAATTGTGCTTAAATAAAACAGGTTACTGATTTTAATATCAAAATTGTAGTTTTACTCTCGTATTTAGGCATTTTTGCCCAGTAGAAATTCTAACCTCAAAATTTCAACAACAATTTATTGTTGTTTTCTTCCACTCACATGAGCTTACTGTAACCCCTTGGCTGTTTTTTCATTAAAAAATCCAGAAGAATGTTGCAATGTTTGTATTTAGTACGAAAAGTTAGCATTTTTGCTAATGTTTTAATTACGAGGGCATTTCAGCAACGCTTTTCGGTGAATTTGTGGGCTGGTCTTTCGAGGAATCATGTGGTTTGTCAATAATATCAACTAATTTCAACATAACGTGACTCCCTTTCTAAAAAGTAAATTTTTTTGTTAATTTTGCATTAAAGTAAATAAAGAAACTTGCGTACTTCTTCATGTTTTTCTGGTCTCACTCTCACTTGCTTCTTTGTTTCATAAAGATAACGCACTAGTTTTCAAGCTCTAAAATTCATTTATCGGTTTGTTAATCTGTATCAGATCGAAGAAAAAGTTGAGAAGGAACAATACCTGTGAAGAAGTTTTAGAGAAGTCGGTTCATCAGGAGTTTCCCGAATGTTTCAAAATAATTTTTGATAATTGTTGATAATAATTAACGATTCTGTCTCATTATACTCGTGTACAACATCTTCAGCGAGAAAAATACTGGAAACTAGCAAGTTATGTCACCCACATCACGATAAATGTCAAACGCAAAATTACAGTAGACCAGGTATTTTTTTAAATTCTGGCCAAATTGGTATTATTTTCGTAACCTAGAAACCGATATAATTTTTCAATCACGCCTTGAGGTGCCCTTCTGGGATTGGTGGATTTAAGAGTCGAATAACTTTCTTATGCAAGCAAAAATTACTTCTTCGGCTGCACTTTTTGGCAACCTATTGCCGCCGGCATTTGACATTTTTCTCTGGGGCGCGAGTTCTGGCGCAGCCCTGTACGCGCTCTTTTAAGTACATACCCATTTGAGTTTACTCAAAGTTCGCTGTAAAGTGCTCGCTTTCGATAAAAATATCTAAATGCTATGCACAGCAGTCTCTGAAGTTGATGTCGTTACGTAGTGGTAATTTTGTTTATTCTCCAAATTTTTGCCCATCAGGGGATAGTATGAAAGAACAAAAGGTAAAAATGAATATGAATGTGGTTTTTATTATTTTTTTTAATTTTATTATACAGGGTGCGCCAGTATTTGCATCTCAGAGAAAAATATCAAGTGCCAGCGGCAATAAATCGCCAAAAAGTGCTGCTGAAGAAGTAATTTTTGCTTGCATAAGAAAGTTATTAGACTCTTAAATCCACCAATCCAAGAAAGGCATCTCAAGGTGTGATAGAAAAATTATATCCGTTGCTAGGTTACCAAAATAATACCAATTTGCCCAGAACTTACAAAAAATGGCTGGTCTACTG